TATGGTTAGACGGCGTGGGATACGCAAGTTGCCGTGACCTCTGGTCTTGGGTTGAGGCTTAGGCTTCAGGTTTTCGGCATTGGGTCCCAAGAAGCACGGTTACATATTTGGTATAAAACAGAAGGTATCGTACCCATATCCCAGATACAGAGCTAACTAGATACGATGCTGCGCCTAAACCCCCAATCGCCCTGCACCATCCTTCAACCGTAAGCCTTAAACCCTGAACCCTAGCAGTACCCTTGGAGATCCCTTGAAGGACCCCAAACCTTACAGAACCCTCAGCCTTGACAGGAACCCTGATCCCTAGACCCCAGTTTCGAACCCCTAACCCGTAAAGATCAAAAACTTCAGGAGCCCTGTAAGGAACCCCTCGTCGGGAAACCTTTTCAGGAGACCTCTGAGCACCCCTTTAAGGAGACCTTGACGAACCCCGTAAGGAAGTTTGTAGCAACCCCTGTGGGAACCTTTCACAGAACCCCTTAAGGAGCCTGAAATAGACCCTTTAAGTTCCTTTTTAAGGACCCTGTAACAAACACTTTAAGGCTTTAAGGAAGCCCGTAAGCCTTTAATGATTTGAAGGACCCTTTGAGGAACCTTAAGATCCCCTAAACCCTCAACCCGAAGTCCCTTTAAGGACCCTCTTAAGGATTTCCAACGGTTTAGAGTTTGGGGTTTAGGGTTTAGTTTAGGGTTTAGGGTTTAGGGTTTGGGTTTCCATGAGGAACCCCGTAAGATCCAATCCTTCGAGGATGGGCTCCGCCTCGGTAACCGGGGAGGACTCCCGTCGCCGTGGGGGCTTAGGTCTACAGTGCACAGCTTTATTGGCCACATGCTGAGTTTGGTATGCAATTTCTGTCGTTGTGGCTTGCATTCTAGTATATATATATATACAAATATTTGAAGTTCATTCAGAAACCAATTCTCGGTACATGTATGCACGCATTCAAGTTTGTATGACCGTACTTACGTCTTTGGGTGTGGCCCGTAAGTAAGTACGTATGTGTGCGTATATATATATATATATGTTTATTTATGTGTATACTTATTTATATGCATGCATGTATGTATGTATGTACGTATGTATGTCAATGTATGTGTGTATGTATGTAGGTATGTATGTATGTATGTATGTTTGTATGTATGTATGTATGTATGGATGTGTGGATTTTTTGTATGTGGGCATGTGTCCGTGGTCTCCAACTTTGCATACATACATACATACATACATGCATACATACATACATATAGATAGGTATGCGCAAGCACATCTTCGGAATTTGGGGACGAAGCCAAGCCCAGCAGTCCAGCACACTACAACCTGTAGGTGTTCGGGTGAATGTGAGGTTTGAGCTTGTTTCTTCTTGGGGTTGCAGTTTCTAATTTGAGATCTTTAAGCATTCACTGATTTCTCATGGGTGCACAGAGTAGAGAAGGTCCCAGAATTCCATGAGACCATGCCCAGGACAGACGTGCAAGACAAGGAGCAGCAGCAACCTAAACCCGATACCTGAATGGCCCATTGTTTGGCTGTCACTCTGGGTCCCTGGGTATGATGTGCAACATTGGTGGCATGGTAGCGATCTGGGATCTGGAAAGATGGGTCTAGTGAGCTCTTATTTTCACTGGGTTGAGACCGCGAGGGCTTTTATATGGGGTCAAGTAACCCTACTAAGGGTCCAAAGTACTTATACAGTAGAATGTAGGGTTTCTATATTAGGAATTACTATTATGATTTGGGGAAGTATCCCCCATAACAATACCTAGGACCTTTTGGGTACGTAATGCCTACTGAGGAACAATGTTCGTAGACGTCGACGGCCAATCCCCAAGCCAGAGCCCCTGAACCCTCGCACCTACAATCCGAAACCATGAGCACCGAAGTTGTAAACATGCAGCTAGCTGATGATAGGGCTTTAGAGGAGTCTCAAGGCGTGAGATGATGTTGTGGGCATACACGCGCCGATGCTAGGGCTTGATCAGTTGATAAGGTGTGCAGATCTGATAGGATTGTCCAGGATATGTGTACGTTAGCTTGACTGATTGCCAAAAGTATTGTTAAGGGGCTCCTTGTTACCACTGTAATTACTCTATTACAGAGCAAAATGCCCATTCGAACGAAAACGGTGCCCATATTAAACCCTAACCCTTATTTACGTTCTCCGCTCCCCAGTCTCTCAGATCGAAGTGCCAGTGGCTTTCGGATTATTGCAGGTTTAGGGTTTTCCTTAATCGGTCTCCAGGTGCTCATATAGTTTCTGCATGAGCCTTAAAGCAATCCCCATATGGGTACTTTAGGGCCAAGGTAGATACTGTATAGCTACATGGAGCCTTTGGGCCGAGGGTTCTAATTATGATTTATAAGGTTTAGGGGTCTAGGGTTTAGGGATTGGTAGTGTTTGTTTGGGGTTTAGGGTTTGGGACTTATAGGGTTTGGGACTTACAGGGTTTGGGGCTTTTGGGAGTTATGGCCCCATCCCCCTGAGGGTTGAGATACAAAAATCCTCTACCCGCAAGCCCAGTCGGAAGTGGTTCGAGATGCCTTGGTAGCAACACCAGTGTTCTTACTCCGCGCTCGCCGGACATAGAGCACCAAGTCGATTAAGAAAAACCGTGTATTGCTGATTCGGTTTCGGGTCCTGTGGACTTGTTTTTTGCGGCAATGTAGACCCCTGGTTACAGGAAACAACGTCGCATGAAAGGCATCGGAATTCCGGTTTTTACCTGTTGTGGTACTGCACAAAGAGCGGTGATAAATCAGGGGTCTGCATGTGGCTAATGTCTGAGAGGGTCAGATCCGAAACAGGCTTGGGCAAAGGCCATGCAGCTCACGGCGAGCACAGCCAATAGGGGCCGCGCCTTCAACGGCGGTGTAGGGCCGAATTGGTAGAAGTCTGCTTGCAAACAAAATAACTCTTTTTCCTCAGTTCTTCATCTCTATGCTATACACACCCCTAGACAATCCCAATTACCACCTAGTAAATCAGAGGAAGATATATTCGTTACGTAAGAGGCAGATTGGGCTTTCAGGTTAGAGCAATCCAACAGAAGAGTTGAGTCGTAAAATGGGGCCCAAGCCACTGCAAAGAGTGCGCGCTTTGCCAAATGCCCACTGGCCCTCTCGAGGCACCAACCCCACAACAACAGTACCCCTTTCCATTGAAGAGAATCAAGGGCAGTAGACCATGCCAGTAGCGGTCCCAAGTAAGACGAATAAAGGCTTCGAGTTGACCGTGAACCTCGATGCCTGATCCTGGATTGCTACCACTACTCATACATATCAATGGCACTCGGCGCCATCAAAGTCATCCATGAGATTACCGAAGCCACATGAAATCGCAAGCCAGTCCATGTCATAGCTCCCTTCTGTGTAAGCACTTGACAAGATAACATCCTCCATTGCTGTGGTTTAGGTCGTAGTGTTTCATGTTTTAGGGATCTCGATTTAGAGCTTCAGGGCATAGAGGTCTCAAGTTTCGGCGCTTAGTACGTGAAAACTTCGCATTTGGAATCCTTTTGTAAACCCTGAGCCCAAAACCCTCTAGACTTTCCGTTTACCAGGGTCCTAAACCCTGAACCCTAAAACCTTGAACCCAAAACCTTAAACGTTCCGTTTACCGGGCAGTGGCCAGGTGCCCAAACCTTTTCTGGAATTCGTGCATGATGCCGATGTCCATAGCAGAGACCCTCATGCCGGCAACCTCGAAACAGTTGCGCATGTGAGGGTCCCAGCTAGGGTTTAGGGGTTTAGCTTCTTAGGGGTTCAGGTTAGGGTTTAGGGTTTTAAGGTTTTGAAGTTTGGGGTTTAGGGTTGCCCTTATGGCCTTTTTTGAGGCTTCTAGCCCGAGACCGCCGCCGACACAGTCGTTCAGTTCCGGGCTTCGTATGCCGGGTTGAGCATGTCGCATCTGCAGATAGAGTGCTTAAAATACAGGATGGCTGGTTTTTTAATATACATTTGAAAACCCCGCACCCTAAATTTTAAGCCGAAGTAGCCCTAAATCTTTAAAAACCTTTTGGCAATTGGCCTTTGACTCTCTCGCAGCCCCAACCTAGCCCGAGACCGCCGGGTAAGATGACAGGGTTTAGAGTCTTGTTGGGTTTTTAGGCTTTAAGTAAGATATCTCTACCTTGACTTGCTTATGACCCAGCTAAGGTAACGTGGTTTTAACTCACTGGTTACCACAACGAGCCTTCAACGTGAACCCAAGAGCACAAGACAAAGGTCGACGCAAACCCATGCCAACAACGTTCTCATAGGCCCTTGAACGCAGAAACCGAAATGTGATGCCACAGACCAAAACCCTGGTACAGGCTTTTTGAAAATCCAAGCTCAAAACCTTCAAAGTTAAAGATTTGACCTTGTTCAGCTAGCTGGCATCGGAGCTTTAGGGTTTTTTCGGTGTAGAGCCTGGGAGTTATATATGCAGGTAGCAGGGTTTTCGGTGAGTGTGTACATAGCATCTTGGGAGCTCATAATGATTGTGGGTGAATGTGGGTGTAATTTTGGGGAGTTGTGTAATACAGCCTTTACTTTCGTATTATCCAGGGGTAAGGGTTGACGCGTACATATATTTGTCGCGGGATCTGCCTGTCCATACTACAGAGCCGCTACGTCTGATCATGGACCCGCCCCCAAACTTGTCCAGGGAACCCGAAAATCCCCCAAACCCGAAACCCTGAGCCGTTTCTTGCAGCAGAATGGGGTTGACTGAAGAGATCCTCAACCCTAAACCCCTAAACCCTGAACCCCTAAACCCTTGTTGGGGGGCTTGCTCCAAAAAGCAACATGCACTGGCGGAAACCTTAAACCTGAGAAGCATAGACCTCCAACCCAGAAGCCCTAAACCCTACAGAACGGTGAGTCATTCACATCTGATTAGATTGGACATGTTGTGAAAGAGCCCCAAAAAAGGAACTTTAATCAAATCATAAAGCCCAAACCCTAACCCTTAAATGCTACACCACAAAGCCTCGCAGTGCCTCCACCCCTGTTACAGGCCTCGTGCAACTGAGATTGGTTCCGCACGGTCCTCAGCCAAGGATGGGACCTTTTACGAAACATACCTGTAGCCTGGGTTTGGAGTACCATACTTGAATATATTTTTGATACCTGTTCCTTAAAGGAACCATTATGAAACAAAAGTCTATACTTTTTTCCTTGGATACTTCAAAGCCCAGTTAGTCGAAACATACCTGTAGTCCCCGTAGTTCTTTGTTGGATATTCAGTTTTACTAACCTTGGATCTTGTAATATAAGGTTGGCTTCAACAAAACAGGAGCTACAACGGAGACGACATGGTTCAGGGTTTAGGGCCAGGGGTCGGTGCAGTTGGCTTTGGCGTCCCACGATAGAAGCTTCAGCCGCTGGCGCCTCAGAATGGCGCTATACTTGGGGTTCAGGGGTAGTGATAAGTGGGGTTATATAAGTAGGGTAACTACTATAGTCATAGCAAGTATTCGGGGACTTATAACCCTACCGTATAACTACCCATGAACCTCCAAGTAGGCCGTAAACCCTATATACCCTCATAGAATCCCTAGATCCCTTTAGAAGGGACCTTTAGAGGAACCCGTATAACTACCCATGAACCTGCAAGTAATGGTCCTGTTCAGGCTTCGGGTTCTACATTGGCCCCATACGGATCGAGGGGTTGAGGTCATAAGGTCCAGGTCAATGTGAGGTTCCAGTATACTACTTTGTCGGGTTCCTTATTATAATTCTACTCTGGTATCATGGGCCCCAAGACCCCATTCTAGTTATTAAGGCGGCTCTTCTGTCAGGACTTTCTGCATGCGCGAATTTGTGAGTGCGACTCCGGTCACCAGCCACTTCCGGACAAAAAAAGGTAAAACCATGTAAGCCCTTGTGCAAACGCTAAGCGCTAACCCCAGGTCGCACGGGCACTGCGTTGCTCTTCGGCACCCCAAGCGTGACAGAGAAACGTCTCGGCCGGCTCGCGCTACCCGCCATTAACGCCGGACACCGACTCGTCAGACTGAGAGGCAGCCTAAAAATTAGGCAGATCAGCGGCTGGGTACTTCGAGGCAGGCAAGATGGCTTGGGAAGCCGTGTACTGACTCAGCGGAATACACAATCTGGCGAGAATGACCGGCTGTCCCGAGGATGCAGAGAGAAACCTCTGCATGCCCAGCGACGTGTACGGATCCGGTTCAAGCACATCGGCAAAACGCATCTACAATGTGCATGGCAGCATCAACGAGGCTGTGTTAACTCTTGAGGAGAGTCCAACACAAATTGATTAAGGAATATGCCCCAACTCATAATTACGGGCATCAATATTATGGTTGACGGTATATTCCTTAGTTACCGCTTAGGGGTATTGGGCTATCTGGGTCAGGACCTCAGCCCACTCGAAAAATCAACCCCAAAACCCGGGATAGAACCCTTCGTAAGTGCAGGAGCCCTGAAAGCAACCCTATTGGAGCCAGACTAAACCCTAAACCCTAAACCCTGAACTCAAAGAACACAAACCTCCAAGGAACCAGTTGCCCGAAAGCCTGAACCCGAAGCTGCAAGAAACCATCTTCTGACGGAGAGCCAGCATAAGCCCTACTTGGAGGGTCAGGAGACTTAGTAAGTAGGTAGTAAGTAGACATATAAGTACCCTAAAAGGGACCCTAACTGGGGTTATGGTACTTATAAGTCCCTAAAATAGCCAGTTGCTAAGTCCCCCGACCCTCCAAGTAAAGACCACCACTCTAAACCGAAACCCCAGATCCAAATTTCGAGGCAGCATATGCACTAAGCCCTACCTTAACCCGGAATAGCCTACCTTTTTGAGGACTCGTATAAGGCAATCACAATAAGGAGCCTAAAAAGGTACTGTAGGTTCTTTGGGGTCCAGGTATATAAACCCCGCAAAAAATTGGGTTAATAGCAAGGAACCATCTTCCCGACAGCCTTCCTGCCTGGAATGACTGGGCTCGCGGCGCACGGAAGGCCTTTCTGGATCCGGGCCTCTTAGGATTTACTTGGAGGGTCGGGAGACTTAGTAAGTAGGTAGTAAGTAGACTTATAAGTACCCTAAAAGGGACCCTAATTGGGGTTATGGTACTTAAAATAACCAGTCCCGACCCTCCTAGTAGGGTTCTTTGAGAACGGGTTCAGGGATGTTCAGGTTTCGGGTGTAGGGTTCCTAGCGGTTTTGCTGGGGCGTTAGGGTTTAGGGTTGTTGGTCTCAGGGGTTCGGGTTTAGGTTTGGGACTGTAAACTCGGCGTGGATGAATCGTTGGGTTTACTTAGGGGGTTCAGGGGAAAAGGAGGGACCTTTAATGGGGACCCCTACCCTATAATGGGCTATATAATGGCTATATAACAGCTATATTAAGGGTATATAATTTACGGTTTTGATCCTTTCGGTAAGCATAGCGTCTCATGATCACTATAAGAGTTGTGGGACTGGGGTTTCGCAGGATTTTGGGTTCAGCGCAGATTGGGTGTTTCATTCTCTGGGGGGACTACTCATAAACAAGCCCTACTTCATTCATGCACGGTTTACGATGCATAATCGTAGGAGTCAGGATTCGGCTACGTTGGCAGATGCCTAGATTCTTTACGCTCGGGCTTGCAAGACCTGGAAGCTGGACATGGGTGGTTTTCAAATTAGGGTCCCTTTCTGGGTCCTTATTATAGTACGGCACCTATTATTTAGGGTTCCCAAGAAGGGACCCTAATTTTGACAACTACCCATGTTTTTTTGAGTTATAGGATCTGGAACACAAAGAGACACGATGTTCGTCAGGAAGGGATCACGGCTCTAGCTGTTCATGTAGTCAGATGTTCATCTATCTATTTGTCTATTTGTCTAAGCTGGTCTTTCTACTTTTAGGTGCATATCTTTCACTTTTGCACGGACTTGCAGTTGCGGTCCCAGGATTTGGGGTTTCGGGTTCGGGCTTCAAGGTTCGGGATTTACAGTCTCTTCCTTGGCTTGGATTTCAATCCAGCTGAACACGAACGAAAACCTGGAGCCTACTAAGCAGCCCTAAAACTCAAAAGTCAAATGCCCGAGCCCCACAGCCTTAGGCCACGCAGAGGGCTAAACCTTCAAATCTATATTTTACCCTATAAGCCTCCCAAAGCCGCAATAATTAGCAAGGCCAAGCCCTACCCTTACCGTTGGTTAGTAGGGAATGGAGGAATGGTGTACAATTATAGCTACTATTACTGCAACCCTCCCACACCCCACTAACCAAAGGTAAGTACCACAGACTGCAACAAGGCTAAACCCTAAACCCCTAAACCCCTAAACAGACTGCGCATCAGGATCCTGCTTGGCTTTCCCAGTGTACTGCACCCACTGTTGCAGCCTTGCCGCAGTACGTCCCAATTAGCGGTTTAGCGTTGGGGTTCTTGAGAGTTGAGGTTAAGCTAGAATTGTGATGAATATACTGAACATATACCCCCGCCCTTCTGTTAGGGATTAATTATGGTGCGGATCCTGATATGAGGGCCCTTTAAAGACAGGGTGGCCAGGGGCTTAGTGATCAGGGGTTTGCGCCAAGGTTTAGGGTACAGGTTTGAAGGTTTGGGGTTGAGAGAGCATTGGTTTGGCTTTAGGGTTCGGTTTTGGGTGCAAGTTCGGGCTGCAGGTATCAAGCCTCTTGTAAGCCCCGGCGCGAGCAAAAGGCAGCAGCCCCAAACACTCGTGTCTCCGAAAATCTGGAACTGCATATCTGAGTCTGATCCTTAAACCCAGCTTGAGCCCTGATTTTAGGGTTCAAGGTTTTTAGGGTTTAAGGTTCAGGGTTTAGGGGTTAGGGTTCGGGGTTTAGCCTTGAGGGTTTAGGGTTTTAGTTTTCGACTCCAAGACCGAACGGCGTAGAGATCTAACCCCAAGGCCTCCAAAGTGCCCAGCAAGCAAGCCCTTCAAACCATCCACCTGTAGACCCGAAACCTTCGGTACTCCCCCTCCACATTCCCCAAGGGTCCATGTACTCATATAGTATATACATTGGCCTTAAAGTACTCCCTATATAGGTACATTGGGCCCAAAGTATATGCTATATGGGTACATGGACCCTTAGGGATGATTATTCTTTCCAGTCTGAATAAGGGGTACTATCAAGGGCTGCTTTCTGTTTTAAATGCTACTACACTGCTGCTGAGTGTCAGCAGTATCCAACCTGAACCGCTTGGCTTGGCAGTTGCTGTGACCACGATTCTGGCTACTTGGAGCTACAAGTATAACCCGTATTGGGACTGATAAATATAGCCCGTATTAGGGGACTGATAACCCCACGTATAAACTACCCCTGAAGCTCCAAGTACCATGTTTCTGACTATAGAAGGACCTCCGATAAAGGGACCCCTCGTCCTTTTAGTTGCACCAAACGACTGTAAAGAAACCATGAATGAACCCAAATGCCACGCCTGGAAAGGCTAGAAGCCCTAAACTCCATCGGGAACTCTCGTCATGGATGGTGACTCCTACTTTTGGAGAGCTCCAGGTGAACCTTCCCCAGCCTCCACCACCGGAGGTCTCAGCAGAGGTACGGGGGAATATTCTGAGAGTAGTTCCTGGTCTTGGATTAACAGCTCAATGTCCGGATCCTTAAGGTCAACCAGCAAACAGAAGTCACGAGGGTTCTCGGTTTGGGCTTCAAAATGTTAAGCGTTCAGGGTATTGGTTTCGAGGTGAAGGGCGGAGGGTGATGGGGTTTACGGGTCTAGGTCAGGGAGTTGATCGAGAGTGGGACCCGCCCGGAAGAGAGTAGGCTCTGTAAGGCTTTTTAAAGTTCTGAGAGAGAGGGTAAGCAAGGGGCCTGACTAATTCCCTATACTATTTTTCTTGGGGGGGGGGGGTCCTCATTATAATCATATAGTATAGTGGGCCCCTAAACCCTATTCTACTTGTTAAGGCCCCTGTGTTAGGGTGGGTAAGGTTTCGCTTGAGTTCCTCCTTGTCGGCTACCTGGCTTAAGGAGGGTCTGTAGGGTTTTCTTCGGGCCATAGTTGGGTTTCATGTTGAGGTCGGTTTCTCCCAGAGTTCACGAGACCCCCTATCTGATCCAATCTAATCTACTTCTGAGTATATGCTATATACCGGTCGTCAAATTCAGAAGCATCCATGCAGTTTCCGGAAAGTTTTTGCAGATAGTACTGGCTGGCTGCCTGAACCCTGAACCCTACAGGGCATCTCTTTGTGGTTGCCCAACTTTATACTACAGTGAGTCAATGAGACTATAACTACCCCGAGACTCGAAAACCACTTTGAGACTTAGTTCAGGAACATAGCTCAAACTGTAGTAGGAGCGCTAACTAGATTTGAGGTATATAGTCTTTAGTCCGGTGTTTTTGGAGTTTCTAGGTAGGGCCTTGTACTAGGAACCCTGAGAAGGTTTAAGGTGTTTACCTGGTCTTTTGGAGTCTCTAGGTAGGGCGCCGGGGCTGCTTAGAAAGACTTGCGCGCGCTTGCAGTGACTTTTCCGGTGATAAAGGACCCTATAAAGCCTTCGTTGTTAAGGCTCCTGATGCTAAGTTATTACATAAGTTCTGAAAAAGGTAGGTTATTTGAGGTTAAGATACTAGCTACAAACATCCTCCCCGCTAGATGCTTCAGAGCTAACCCCAAAACACAATTCCAGTTATTAAGTCCCCTACAATAACCCTTTAAAGCCCATTCAAGGCTTCAAAAAAACACTTTCGCATCATTATGGCACCTAGGTTGTAAGGCCGATACGATCCCGGAGGTGGCAGACGATGGAGCTTCGCTGGTGGTTCTCCTTCTCTGGGCCCATGCCCCGGGTTTAGGGTACAGGGTTGAGGTTATAGGGTGTGCTTCGGGGCTTTAGGGCTTCAAGCCTCGGACCCTATGTTTGTTTCTGAGCATGGGGCCTTGAGAGCTTAGGCCAACACCCGTTTCTGGGATGTGCGGTTTATCGTGTGCCTGCGCAGGGTCAGGATGTTTAGGGTTTCAGCCAAGGAATGAAGCAGAATGTTTGTTGGAGGCGTGTGTCAATGCACTTGTACTACTTGAAAGTCCCGAAAAGCCCGTCCTGAATCTTTCGGTTCCTGAACAAGCTCCGTCGTTCTGTCCTCCCGAACCAAGATGGCCACAAGCACACCTCATCATAACAGATGTGGCCGCAAACTTCATTAGCCTGATGGAGGGTCTGAAGGCGACGTTCAGACCATTATTAATGACACCTTTGCCATGAAGGCCGCCTCTACTTGGAGGTTCATTGGGTAGTTATACGTGGGGTTATAAGTAGGGTAACTGTCAAAATCTCCCATATTGCCATATTAGGGGGACTGATAACCCGACTTATAGCAACCCATGAACCTCCAAATACTGTACGCAGCAGAGCCTTCACTTGTAGCTTACTCTACTTTGCCCGCTGGAGCAAAGAGACTAATATGGTGAGTTCATGCCTTTTGCCTACCCCTAACCCACACTCTATTCCTGCACATGTTGGATGCGATTTAAGGGGCCCCTCGAACGAGGGGGAACTCGCATCCGATGCTTGATCTTAGCTTCGGTTCGTAGGGAATGGAGGAATGGGGTACAATTATAACTACTAACACTACCATTCTTCCATTCCCTACTAACCAAAGGTAGGTGATAGCCCTTCCGCATCTCCACCACACAGCGAGGGGGCACCTCGCCTTGGTGGAATCGGTCGCGATGTGGAACGTCCGGTGGTCCGTAATGCTTCAATCCAAGTAACCCTAGGGCCCTAGGGCTCGAAGGAGGGTCCAAAGACCATACTATAGGCTCTATAGGTATATAAGGCTTTTGTGCTATTTTGATGCCCAGAGTAAGTAAAGTGTCCCCTGCTTGTGCTGAAGTACTGTAGGAAAGTGAGACGTGCCTTCCCGAAGCAGGTTGTCGTGCTCCTAAACCATTGCGTGGTACTCCTCAGCTGCGCGTGGCAAAACCCATACGGCCAGCATCAGCCAATACCTTCCTGAACCCGGCAAGCCAATATGTAAGATAAGATATATTACATACAATATGTACTATATGTTATATTATACACAGTATATACACAGTATTTATGGTTTTAAACGTGAACCCTATGCCCTCATCCCTGAACCCTCGCCCCAGTCTCACGAGGGGTGATATTGCCATGTCTCTTGTTCTCACCCATCCGACCTACAGACGTATTCCTTTGGCCGGAGAAGCTACTGACACTTACTCCTCAACTTTTCTAGTCTTAACTTGTTTTATAGTAGAATGTACCCTCAAACCCCTTTGCTAAGCATTATGAGACAGCCCCAGACTTTGGATGCGCGTCTCCTGCCCTGGCTCCAAGATGGACCCAGACTGCGCTGGCAGTGCCCTCGCCCTCGCAAGGGCAGAGTTGAGTTTAGGTTCTGGGGACTTTCGGGTTCGGTGCGTACATTGAGGGGGACTTTGGGAATTCTCTTGTCGGCCTCAACACTAAACCGTAAACCCTAAACCCCTAAACGAGAAAACCAGCAAAAACTCCAAACCCTAAACCCTGAAGCCTAAACCCTAAACCCGCTAGACTAAGGATGCCTACAAGGGAATAGGTATGTTAGTCCTTCGAAGTCTTTTGCGGCACAACGGGTAACGTCCTGTCTTCAAGCGGAATCCACCCACTCCTAGTCTCAAACCTTGTTAAACCCTAAGTAAAGAACTTCCGTTCCGTTTATAATAAATCCTTTTAGATGCTCCCTCCCCCCTCTTCCTTCCAAACGGGGCCTATGTGTGCCGGTCTATTCGTTTTGAACATGACGACCCCGCACACCGGCCCACTGGAGTCGCAAGAAGATCCTGCTACAGGGGCCTAAATTTGAATAATTACCTATTATACATTTTTTTGGCGGGGGTCTAGAAGGATTACTGTAAGGGGTAGTATGGGGGTTTAGTAGAGCGGCCTAAAGAATTACCTATACTATTTTTTGGGCGGGGGTTCCTTAGTACAATTAAGTATAGAAAAATATACCCCCACAACCCTATAGTCTAATTATTAAGGCCCCCATAGCAGATAGTATCAGGGAGACCGACCCTTCTTAAGCCTGCTTCTGGCTCTCTTTACAGGGACCTTATTGAGAGGGTCTACATCCCCAAGGGTACCCCAAATCCTGAATTCTGGAAGAGGTACAGCTGGCGCATCCTAGCCTCGTCCGAAGAGGAGGGTGAGCAGGCGTGATGCTTGATTTCTGGTTTGGGGCTTTCCCCGAGGGTCCAAGTACCTAATAATCATATACTCTCCAAAATCCTGACCTATAACTACGATCCTAAAACCGAGTACCTGATTATTCGGTCCTTTGGACCCTTGTGGTTTAGGTTGTTTTGCACAGGGTTGAGGGCTGCGGATTCCGTGGCCCGGGTTGGGACGTTGAGCTTTGACCTTGGGTGGGGGCATTGTTCACCGGTGAAAAAAACCTGTGTCTTGCAGACATGCTGGGTTTCGAACCAACTTAAACCTAATCCTAATCCCCCAAAACCTTAAACCCTAAACCCTAAAACTCTCAGCCCTAAAAGCCTTAAACCCAACTGCTATGAACCCAAGCATCGCGGCAGCTTCCAGCAGAAATCACTTCAGGATGTAATACTTGGGGACCGAATGAGCGGTGCCCTATAATGGGTCCTATAATGCCTTTATACTACAAATCCCTATATGGTATAGTTATCTCCCAGATAGGGATTTATAGTATGAGGGCTTAAGGTTCATACAATATGAACTTATGAACCCTAAACCCTTGTGGGGTTCAATTCGTGCTTGAGGACTTCGGAGCTTGAGAGGCGGCCATGGCTAAGCTGGTGAAAACGGAGCTACTGTATGATGCTTCGCACCCCTACTCCGAATGCTAGGATCATCGTTGGTATTCGGATTCCCTAAGCCCCAGAAGGCCAGCCTAAACCCTTAACCCTTGCCAACAAACTCTAAACCTAAACCCAGTCCCTATAATTACACCCAACCCTACCAAAAGCTTCAACCTGAAAACTAGACGGGGCCGGTGACACCTCGCAGAGCCTGCAGTCGAAGACCGTGAAACTTTGGAGAAATCAGGCAACCACGATGTTTTAGGGTTTGGGGTTTTGGTTTAGGGTTTGGGGTTTAGGGTTTAGGGTTACACTCATCAAGGATGACATCCACTTGAAGCCGCACTTCGCCATGATCTTCTCCACGAGCAATCGAGCGAACTTCTCCGCTCTCGACGGCGGGGTGCTACGCTCCCTCTGTCTGAGTCGTACCGTTCCCCATTTCCTTCGTGGATCGCGATCGCTCTGTGGGGCAATTTGTGCTGCACCGGACAGCCCGTCACCTTCCACGCCAAAACCAATACCCTAAACCCTAAACACTTTTTCCTAATCCCAATGGCCCCGAAGCTGTTGGTGCACTGCCGTCATTGACTACATCTATGATGCCTCCTTCGTCTTCTTCTGAAACCGGGATGCCTGCTCTCCCTCAAGACGTAGTTGTTATTCCCTCCAGCTCATCGAATGATTAGCCTCAGTCTCTAATTGGCAGAACACTCCAAATGGGGTGTGCTTTTTTGTGCAAGCCCAAAGTGGGCAGGGAGTCAGCAGTGCGAAAGTCCCACTGCACCCTTAAAACCAACGCTAAAAAGAAGACTCGGGACAGCCTCAATGTGGTTTTGTTCGAGGAGATGAAGTAGGCGCCACGTCAGCATTTCGTGTGGCAACGTTGGAGTGCACGAATCGAAAACAAAGTTTAGCTGTTGAAGGGTTTTGGGTTGAGGGGTTCAGGGGTTAAGGGTTCCTCTGAGGGTTCCGCTAGAGTTTAGGCTTCCGGAGGCCTGAATTCTGTCGTCGTAGTTCTGAGCTTTTTAACGTCCCGTATCGTGCTGCAGAGGTACCTAGTCCTATAATAAGGGTGCCCTAAAGATTAAGAACATTACACAGTTTTGGTTTTACATAGCACTTCGATGCTGTTTCGATCGCTCACCCCATGATGTTTCCTGGTTCCTGTTGGAGGAGTATGGGACTTCTAAGTAGGGTTATAAGACAAGAATCCTAGGGCTTATACGCAAGTATTCGCAAGCATAGCTACCTTTGTTGGTATTCAATTTCAAAGTCATTTGAAGGTCCCATCTTGCCGTAAGCCCTAAACCCCTATTGATCCCGTTTAGAACCGTACACATAAGCGACCATTGTCTTCAGGAACCCTCAGCCCTAAACCCTAGCTACTGGATCTATGTGGAAAGAGCTGTGTCGTGCTCAGAACTGGCGGCAGAGTGGCTGCTACCATTGCATCCCCGAGGTGCGCTCTCGATTCTCTCTAGACCTTACAGGGTTGGGTTTAGGGTTCGGGATTTTCAATTTTGGTGGTTTGACGGTTGAGGGCTAGGTTTTGTGTTTAATGTTAGTTCTGTGAGCGAATAGGATCCTCGTTAAATGCGGTTAATGGTGCATGTACATAGAGCTGGGTAGGCCTTTAAGACGTTTTATATTGTCCCTTATTCGGCCTAAGATATTTTTTTGTTTACGAATATTTTGCAGAGGCTGAACCAACCCAGAGAGTGATATGTCCATATCGGTTTGGTCGGCAGGCTCGAGGTGAAGGAATGGTTGCCCTAAGGGTCCCAGGTACAGTTATGGAGAATGCTTCCCCAAATCATAACAGTAATTCCTAACCCAGAAAGTCCAGGTACTCCCTGTTATAGGACTTTAGGGCATTTTTAGGTATCACAAACAATAGATAAGGACGACTTGGACGCTTAGGGCTCACATAGAAACCCGGCATTGCACTGTAGTCTACTCTTGAGCCCCCAAGTACTGTGCAGTACATAGCTTAGTAGCTGAGTGGATACACTTGCACTTTTTGGGATAGTATTGTCCACTATAAAACTGAACGTGTACATTTTTTTGGGGGGGGGCTTATCAACTCAGCAACGAAGATAGGTACATTGGACCCTGTGCGTTCGAAGGAGCACCAGGAAGCCTTGAGGCCAGCTACTATAGGGGCTTTAATAATTACCTATACTATTTTGGGGGTTTCTTATCGTACATATAGTATAATGGGCCCCAAATCCCTATTCTAATTACGTCTTAAGGCCCCTATGTTATTTCAAAGGATTCCTTTCATGGGCCGTACTGACATCACCGTCAACGACGATGCTATGAATGCTCTAGCTAGTTTCAGCAGGACCCCTGCAAGGGTTCAGGTTCAGAATGATTTAAGGCGTTTGAATGTCAGACATTGCAGCAGTTTTGTCCAGACACCTAAATTCATAATAGTAACTCTCCAACTGGTATGGAGGGTTCCGAAAATGGAGGACCCTAATGCAGTACCCTAAATAGTAGGATCCTTAATATCAGGACCAAAACAAGGTACCCTAATTTTCGAAAACACCCGTATAGGAATCCTGAACCTTAAAACTAAACCCCTATACCGATACCCCTAACAACGTGTGGAGGAAGAGACCAGGGTTCGCTCGCCACCTCTTCGCGAGGTGCGCAGCCCGCAGTACCCGAAGGGTCCTGTGCTTCTACACGGGGGGGGCTTACCCAAGCCATATACTGGTAAGTCTGATGATAGAATTCCTTATTATAATTCTACGATGTAGGGCCCTTTGGGGTAATGCTATATAGCGACATAAGGTATATTTCCACGAAGAACGCGCTGAATCTGGTCAGGAGTTTCCACGGTAGCTGGTTAATGTTGTATTTCCAGGCGGTTGTGACATCAAAGCGTCAGGGCACAGCACCACAGCCCTACCTCCTAAAGTTCTCCAATCCTCGCGTCTTAGATCCCAAAACCCTGAAGCCCTGTAAACCCTAAATCTCGAAAACACTTAATCCTTGCCTAGACCTGTCACCCCAAACCCGACAACATAGTAGGTTATGACCCCTTCTCTAGAGGGTATAGCCCTGAGAACAGTAGGCTTTTGGATCCGCAGGTAGAGCCTGTGAACCCTAAATCCTCAACCCGAAAGCCGATGAGCCCTTGAAAGGAACCCTGTTCTACTTAATAAGCTGCAGAAAGATATGAGCTGCGGTCAAGATTAAGCTTTCTGCAGAGATGTGCAAGGGTGTAGGTGTTGAGGGTATAGGGTTTGGATCAATCATCAAATCTTTCAGGAGTTGCAAGTTTGGGCTGAGATTCTAAGCTCGAAACCCCAGTGATCGTGGCAGCGGTGCATTAAGTGGGAGCGGACTTTAAGCTGTAGGGTCTACGTACCCAGAGCCTCCAAAATCCCTTAATTAAGGAATATACCTTAAATCATATTAGGGCTCCTACTATAATTTAAGGTCTATTCCTTAATTAAGGGATTTTGGAAGGTCCACGTAGCGAGATCGAGCAGATGATGGCATTGACGGCAGTTTGATCATTTCTCTAAGGGTCCAAAGGACCCTATAATCAGGTACTTGGGTTGAGGATAGTAGTTATGTAGCTCAATATTTATGAGAGTATATGATTATTAGGTACTTGGACCCTTAGGGTTTTGGAGTGGCAGCACTTCGCGGTGCACGATCGTGCGACGATTTCCAGAAACGGCAACAAACCCAAGCGCGCTAGCTTTGGCCCTCATCTTTCAGTTTTGAATTGTTATACATCTGGCCCTTCGAGCCCTGAAATCTAAACTTTACAAGCTCCAATCCCTGAATCATAAGCCCTCAGCCCTGCAAGCCCTAAACCCTAAGGATGCAAGCTTACACCCTTTTTACTTTACTTCTCCCTAAGTCTTAAAGACTCAACCCGAAGCCCACTTGGAGAGTCGGGGGACTTAGTAACTGGTTGTTTTAGGGACGTAATAGCCGCAATTAGGGTCTTTTTTAGGGTACTTATAAGTCTACTTACTACCTACTTATTAAGTCCTTATAGTACCCTTAGAATCCCCTTTAAAGGAACCCTTAGAATCCCCTTTAAAGGAGCACCTACTTACTAAGGCCCCTCAAGACCCTCCAAGCAGGCCCCATAGTCGTTCCTTTTTGGCATTACCTCAGAGAATTCTAACTCTTATATAACCCCAAAAGGAACTACTATATGGCCTATGACTCATACACCAGACCCAGACCCCAGGGCTGCAAACCTCATTGCAAGGGATGGGAGAACGGGAGCTCAACAAAGCTCATTGTTAGGTTTGGCTTGGAGTTTCGCTTGAGACTTTGGGGAGTTCATTGCGGTTTAGGTCTTAAAATTTTGTTTTGTGGGTTTGGGCTTCTTAGGAATCGCCCTCCGAAAGCTTCGTTTGCCGCCGACGTTGCAGGATTGGGATTGCCAGCGAGTCGAAGTTCGCGTGCGTTGCCTGGTGCAGCTAAGTTCTCTTCAAGGATTTAGAAACCCTAAACCCCAAACTTCTGCAGAAAAGGGCCCCAACACACTTTACAAGAAAGACCCTATGCCCTTACGAAGGATCCTTGAATCGCCCGGTTCATGCTTGGCTCGAGGGGCTTGGGCCCGGCTTGGGCCCACATTTAAACCATACGGGAGTTTCCGAAAATAGGGGACCCTCATATAGTACCCTAAGTAGTAGGATCCTTATTATGAGGACCCCAAAATAAGTTACCCCTGATTTTCGGAAGCTCCCATATGCCTTAGTCCCCCCAAAGCCAATCAGCCAATCCCTTCTCTCTCCCCAACACAAACAACAGCTTCACAAGCAAGCCCCAAGCCGGCAAACACCATTGCCCAAAATCCAAAATCGCAGAATCCCTGAGTGCCACAAGACCCTAGTATTTAAACCAAACCCCGAACACAACTCGAAAGCCCGAAATAATTCAATGAAAACTAAACATCAGGAGGTATCTTTATAGCTTAAACCCTATTTAGCCATGTAAAGCACTTGTAAGCCCGGAACCACAAAACTGACAAACTTGAGCTTCAACCTGTGACAGTCAGACCCTCAAGCCCTACTTGGAGGGTCGGGGACTTAGTAAGTAGGTAGTAAGTAGACGTACAAGTACCCTGAAAGGGACCCTAATTGGGGTTATGGTACGTATAAGTCCCTAAAACAACCTGTTACTAGTCCCCCGACCCTCCAAGTAAGCTCTGAAAGAAGAGAAACAACCTACACAGCCCCAAACTAAAGCACCAGCTGCACTTGCCACTGAGGTTACAGCCTTGCCCGAGCCTGAACAACTTGTGGCACTCTGGGTTCCAGATTCTCGCCGTTGCAGGGCTTAGAGTTCAGGGTTTTAGGGATTTAGGGGTTAGGGGTTTAGGGGTTTCGGGTTTAGGGCTTTTAGGGTTTGGGGGTCTAGTGGTTTGAGGGTTTAGGGTTTACAGGTTTAAGGCTTTCAGGGTTCAGGGCGTACGGTTGTACGGCTCGTGGTAGTTATTTACCCTGAGGCCCGAAGGGTCCAACTATTCCTTAGTATAAGAGTTTGGGTCCTTTTCGGGTGCAAGAAGCTATATGGGTGGTTGTCAAAATTATGGTCCCTTTTTGGGTACCCTAAATATTAGGTGCCGTATTATAATAAGGACCCTAAAAGGGACCCTAATTTGAAACGCTGCGCGTCGTCCGCCTCGGCCCGGCTGTACGCGCATGCGGCGAGTGGCTACTATCTGCAGCAAGCTCTTGTAGGAAAAAAGTAACAGTTGGAATCGCACTTATAGTAACAGTAATGTTCATAGCAACACGAAGACACATAAAGATGCTACATTGCAGTCCCGTGTCGTCGAAAACTCCAGAAAGCTCGCACCTGTCAGCGAGCGGAGGAGGGGCGGGAGGGGGGAGGGGGGGGGGGGGGGGGGGGGGGGGGGGGGGGGGGGGGGGGGGGTGGCACCCTTTTTTTTGGGGGTGGGGTCACTGGGAAAAGGATTGAGAGGTGGGGAATAAAGGAATACGAATAGGAACCTCTGACCGCTTCGGCCGGGGCCGAGGCGAACTTTGACAACCACGCTATGCTTTTTCAGGTTGGCTTTACGTGTCGGGGAGGGTGGGTTGCGAGGTGCGAGAAATGCCAGGATGACCTACTCACCCGAATGGGTGTGCCGGACGACGACTACGTTTCCCCAGGGGCGCCAAGTCTGGACGATGAGCACACAGGTTTCATCCACTACTATGATTATGACCTTATGGCCCATATTAGGCGGCTCATAACCCCACTTATAACTACAAACTACTCATGAACCTCCAAGCAAGCTCAAGGTCTGAAGTTACAAGCCCGGGTAGTCTCCGAACCCTAAAAGCTCAAAACTCCAAGCCCTCAGAACCCGTCCCGCAGGCTTTTAGGGGTTTCGAGTTTATAGGGCTTGGGGTGTGCAGGATCTAAAAAGCCTCTCTGCCTAGATCTAAAGCCTTTCGGATCCTTAAGCTTAAAGCTTACAGCTACCTTCGTATTTTGCACTTAACCTCACGCTCTTCATCGGAAAGGCTTCGCAAGCGGACAGCATGAGTTTAGGCACCGCGGGTTTGAGTAGTGACATGGGTAACAGGCAGGCGTCAAACAATCAAACCGGCTTAGTGTAGGGTCGTATGTTGTTTTTTGTAATTATCCCGTTATAGTCCCTACATCACTATAGTAAAGCAAACGCCACAACCTGATTCGATTGTGCCTATCGTGGGGGCCCAACATTTTTTGGTTTCCTATCAAGCCTGAAACCCTAAAGCATAAGCCGTAAACCCCAAGCTCTATACCCTAAACCCTGAAGCCCCAAAGGGGTTTAGGGTTGTTGGCTTCCCGCCGCTACAACATAATGCCGAAGTCGGATACTGGACACCCAGACTGGGCATCTAGACCTTCGGGAGGATCTAGAATTAAGAATCCCTAATTGGGGACCCTGTACTGCTAAAGGTACTTTATAGGAATCCCCTTAAGGGATCTACTTTCTAGATCAAGTAAGCTATCAAACCATATCAGACCCTAAACCCTCGACCCTACATTCTATGAGATCTGAAAAAGGCATCGGTCTGGAGCAGTTGGAGTTTCTCGGTGAGCTGCGATGTGCGCCTTCCCGTGCAGGACGGCTCCCTTCAACAATAGGTTGGGTACTGCCCCCACTCTGTAGCAGATGGAGATTAATATATAATGTAGTTATATCTAGGCCGTGATATGTCCACATAATGTAGACGGGTTCTGAGGTAAGAAAACTCTGCTTAAAACGAAACATACGTTTGACCTAAAGAGTCTTTGGCTTAACAGCTTATCTTCGTGTTCTTTTGGTTGACTCTTAGGACTTTAACTTTTTGGGTTTCTTCATGAACCATAATAAGAAGGCTGAAAGTTTACCTTCATCGGTGTATATATATATATATGCACACATACATATGTATGTACGTAGGTAGGTACGTATATATGTATGTACATGTATTTGTTCAGTCAGAAAAAGCAGGCATCCCTGCCTAATGTTCGCAAGGCTCCTTGTCTGACAGGTGTTCGCCTGTCTGGGTAGGGCTGCCACTTCGCAAGGACCAAACAGGTCTACCCCCAATGGTCCAAAAAAACAGTAATCAAGTAACTACTCGGAATGAACGTGATAAGGTTTAACGTCAGGCTACCACCAAGGAATATCTGTCTGTATTCCGAGGAAACTCGAGACTTGATTAACTAGTAGTATCAAGACCCTCTATAATCCTTGTGGCGAGTTTATAAAGCGATGTGCTTGCAAATGATTACGCATGGTCGAAATCTTGATTCTGAGCGTGAGTTTCTGCAGCTCGGTTAGTCAGTCACTGATCCAAATATCACATGGGAGTTTCCGAACATTAGGGGTACCTTATTGGGGGTCCTTATGGTAAGACTCATACTATTGAGGGTACTATATCAGGGTCCCCTATTTTCGGAAATCCCCACGCGAAGTAGAAGTTGCTGCTGTCTGGCAGCACTTGGAAGGTCGGGGGACTTAGCATTAATCGGTTAGACTTATAAGTACCATAACCCCGATTAGGGTCCCTTTTAGGGTACTTATAAGTCTACTTACTACCTACTTACTAAGTCCCTCGACCCTCCAAGCAGGGTAGTGAAAAAACTGCTGAGATCCCGTTGAGGAGTCACCACTGCTTCGCCCGATGCTCAGCAAAGCTATATCTGTGCGGAAGACATGGGTTAAGGACCCAAAGAGTGCTACAGGTAAGTACCTAGATACGGAAGGACCCAAAGAGTCCTACAAGTAAGTACCTACATAGGGAAAGTAGAGTTTCTGCACCAAGAATGACCACTATGGTTTGGGCAAGTATCCCCCATATAGACAGGTAATTAGGCCCCTGTCGGAGACAGCGGAGTTCACAGAAACGGGTGCCCGTAAGACTGCAAACTGTAAGTCCCTACCCATAGGCCTCATAATAGTTCCTTTCGCAGCTGGCCTCCCAGAAGAAGAGCGAGAAAGCCAAAGAGTCTTTGAAAGGTCGTCTCGAGACTTGGTGCTCTGCGAGGAACTTGAAGCCTCACCTCGTCACCAAGCTCACGCCTCTCCCAGAGCAGTCGAGATGCCACTTGACGTGGCAATCTCTCGACAGGGCTCTCTGGCTTGCTGCCTGCTCTGACGAGGAGACTCTGGGGAAGCACGTCTCTAAGCCGAAGCAGTTCTTGGAACACAGAGTCTCTCTCGCGATCCTCTTCGCCGATCAGATTCCGCTCTGGATCAAGGCGGGTTCCGAGAGGTCACTCTTCGCGGACTGGGAGAGGGCTCCCACCTCTCAGGCGGCTCTCCGGCAGGACTTGCAAGCTCTGCACGAGAAGCAACTCTCCGGGCAGGAGAACGTGGACTCTGGTCTGGTGGTGCAGCACCCGGGCTCCGCGGGGTTCTGTTTCGGGGTTTCGTGGGCTGTTTCGGGTTCCGCGGAAACTGTTTCCGGCTCCGCGGAAACTGTTTCGGGCTCTGGTGCTCTGTGGGGGTTAGGGTCAAGGGTTTGGGCTTTGGGGTTTAGGGTCTAGGGTTTAGGGCCTAGGGTTTGGGCTTTAGGGTTTAAGGCCTAGGGTCTAAGGCCTAGGATTTTGGGTTTTAGGGCCTAGGGTTTGGGCTTTGGGGTTTGAAGTCTTGGGTTTTGGGCCTAGGGTTTAGGGCCTAGGGTTTTGGGCCTAGATTACTTTTTAGAATTCGTAATATTAACCCCAAAAAAGGAACTACTATGGGGCCTATGGGTAAGCCCTCAAGCCTGAATCCGAAACCCCGAAAGCTCCAAACTCGGTTTAGGGTTTGGGGTTTAGGGTTTAGAGTTTAGGGTTCAGGGTTTAGGGGTTTAGAGTCTAGGGTTTAGAATTTAGGATTTAGGGTTTTTGGGTTTAGGGTTTGGGGTCTTAAACCCTGAATCCCAAAAAAACTCGTTCCCAAGAACCCTTATAAGCCTTACAGTAAGCCCTATAAACCCTAAACCCCGAATCCCGAAAACTCCTTCCCAAAAACCCTAAGCCCTAAACCATGAATAAGTAGACCCGGAACCCTGAACCCTAGACCCAATCGTACCCTTACTGTATAGCTCCCATGTAGGAGCCGTCATAGGTCCTTGAAAGCTAGGGTCCTCAGCAGTACTCTTCTGCCCTTTTTGTTTGAGGGCCCCCGTCTTAAAACCGATTACTCGTAGTAGGAAAGGATACTTTTACTACGGCTGATGGCAAAAATCCTGCAGTACCCACTATGGGGAATATACCATAATTCCCATAGTTTAGGGTCCTTAGGGATGCAGGATGTAAATCATCAACCGTACACAGGGGCTGCTCAGGAACCTAGACAGGAACCTTAGACCCTGTAGATACAAACCCCCAGTCCCAACCCAGACCCCCTTTGGAGGATCTAGAAAAGTAGATCCCTTAGTTTGGGGCCCTATACTACTACGGGCAGGGTTTTAGGAACCCCCAGTAAGGGGATCGACTTTTTTGGATCCTCCCATAAGCCCTAAACCCTAAGCCCTGAAACCCTATAGCTCCCTTAAAGGGACCCTTGAAGACTTCGGGGATCTACTTTTTGGATCCTCCAAAGGGGGTCGGGGAAGCCTCCCCTTGCCGAGGGATCGTGCCCAGCAGATCCAACTTCACAGAAGCTGATGCGACCTGGGAGGAGAGCGCAGCGCTGCATACGCTTGATGATATAAAATAAGGGATCTCTATAAGGGTACCTTGAAAGGGGTTCTTTTAAGGGATCTATTTGGGGTTTAGGGTTTAGGGTTGATGCTATAAATCCGGCATTACCTTAAGGACCCTAAATCATGGGAATTATGGTAGATTTCCTATTATGGGTAATGGGATCTATAGACCTGGGAGGCGAGCGCAGCGCTTTAGGGTGTAAGGGTTTAGGGATTTAGGGATCCCTTTTAAAGGGGTCTATAGGGCTACTAGTACTATATGGGATCTGTAGACCTGGGAGGAGAGCGCAACACTGGCATATCATTTTACTGTATCGTAGGCTTTGAGGGCTTATGGATTCTAGGGTTTAGGGTTTAGGGACTTCATGTAGGTTCAGGGTTAAGGATTTTGGGTTTAGGGTTTTGGGGTTTAGGGCTCGGGGTGTGAGCTTTTAGCTGAATTACGGTTCTGGTTTCACGGCTTAGGGCTTCTCAGCACTTGATATTAAAGATCCCTTAATCAGTTGAGCGTTTAGGGTTTACAAAATAGGCTTGCTTTAAGGATTTTTTGTGTTATTCAATCCGTTCTTGTAGTGGCTTTTCAGCTTGTTGTTTGTTGGGAAAAGTTTAGAGTATAGTGGCTTGAAAATCACAACAGGTTACCTTCCTTATAAAGATTTTAAGTGCTTAAACAGGTTACTACATCTGGCACTAGAACTTAGTCAAGGAACCCTACGGAACAGTGTTTGTAATTATCCTGTCTTCTCCTCACTTGTCGCTTTGGTCTTTATCTGCATTGCTGGCTAATCTGCCAACTGTACTTGTGTTTCGGTGTCCAGGTACTTGTTTCGTTTACAACGGGACATAATGAGACCAAAGTCAGGGAAGTTACTGCTAGGTAGTATCTGTGGTTGTTACGGATACTGGGACTGTTTTGTTCTAGTTCGCGCAGGCCGTTACTTGTGTGCTGCCATGCTACTGGTTTTTGAGTTTGGGGATGCAGACATTACCATTGAGGCCACACCCATGACGATCATTGCTGCTTAGAAGCTTACGGCAGGGGCATGGGTTTAGGGGCTCAGTGGGCTCAGGTGACGAAACTTGTTGGTTTCGATCTGGTTCGTAATGGCTTGTCCAAGTGCCGATGCAAAACCCGACATGTTCCTTGAACCCTGAAGCGCTGAAGCCTCAACCCAAAACGACCTGAACCTGGGGTTCGCACAACATACATTTTCACCCCGGCTAGAAGATACAGCGTCGCTGCAGTTGGGTGCTGCTACCTCAACGGAATCCTGAGCTAGAGAACCCTGCCTCTGGAGCGGGTCTGCCTTCGATGCCGACAATAGGGGCGTAAATAATTGCCTATACTATTTCGGGGCTCCTGTTTACAACTATAGTATAATGTGCCCCAAAACCCTATGCTAATTGTTAAGGCCCTTATACATGTTACGACCCTAAAGCACGTCCCACGCCCAAACGCCAACATGCATAGGCCCTCGTCAGTCCGGCGAAGGTGAAGGCCACACGAGCTTTTTAGAAGCTCGGATAATGTAGGGACCGGAATAACAATATTATATGATACAATATTTGGATAGTCTTCCTCAGGCGTATATATATATATATACACATACATATACGAATACATTGTTGGTACCTCCACCAAACCCTACGCGATACTACATGACATTCTTGGGGTTCCGTATTGTTGTATGTATACCTAAGATATCCCCAGAACCCCATTCTGATTATGAAGGCCTTTATACTTGGAGGATCGGGGGACATAGTAATTATGTAGTTATCTAATGGACTTATAAGAACCGTAACTGCAAATCAGGATCCGTTCTAACGTACGTTTTCCTTTTTCCTTCACTTATTGCTTACTTACTAAGTCCCCCGACCCTCCAAGTATTTCCCATGTTCAGGGGCGTCCTATAGCTTCAGGGCTTCTGGACTTAGCGGTTTTAGAGTTTAGAGTTTCAGGGTGTTAGAGGTTTGGGCTTTACGGCTTTAGGGTCTAACGTTTTAGAGTTCAGGGTTTAGGGTTTCGGAGCTAAGATTCAGGGACTTGGAACGGCTTTCGGTTCATGGCTTGTTCCGCACAGTTTATGGAATGTTAGTTTAGGGCGTTTACGGTGGTCAAGCTTTGGGGGTTCAAAATTTCGAAGTGGAAATTTGTGGTTTAGAGTTTACAGGTGAGCTAGGTTTGTGTTTTGTTTGTTGCGTATTTTTGTTTGGGGGTTTGAGAATTCTTTCAAGTTGGAAGCTCGGATAAGTACTAACGTCATTCTTCAGGGTTCCGATTTTTAATACACGCCACAGCCATATATTCTAAGTGTGCAAGCCCCTATAGTACGTTTTTGATTATACAGACTCTACAGTAACACCCCAAGACATCCCTAAACTCTAAAGCCGCTAGAGCCTTAATTAATGCCTGTAATGTGTACCGCGGGCTCCCGAGCCCGAAAGCATGTATCATAGATGCGGCGAGCCGAACCTCTGAACTTGCAGCAGTACAATGGGGAGTTTCGAGTTATTGCTGGTTTTCGTCCTACATCTCGGCTGTTTCAAGTTCTGGTCTGTTGCCGTAGCAAGATGACTATATTGTCGTAGCCTCTTCAACACAAGGCAGCCGATGATTGAAACAGCCATCCTTCATTGCGAAAGATTCCTGCAGAAGTACCAATATTAGTCCTTACGGGCTTATACACATATTATATGTGAACCCTAAACCCTACTGTAAACCGTGGGACATTCTATTCCCCCATGCCATCTCGCAGCTTAGACTGGTTACCTGGGTAGACTGTCCAACATAGTCCCTTGTACCGCTTAACATAGAAGCCTACGCAATTCTATACTCTAGTACCACAGGGACTCTAACGGAATATTGTCAGTATTTCCGAACCCTATGATGTGCTACAAGTAAGTATACTAAAATTTACGACGAAGTTCCACAAAGCCCTACTCGAATCATTCGGGCCCTAGGATTGATCGGTCTTACCTTACGATTGATCTCTTGAAGACCATGTACTGAACCCAGAAAAGTTTCAACCGGCCCTAACCGCAAACCCCAAACCACTGGCACTCACGATTTGTGTCTCTCGCCTTCGCTGTCCACGAACGGAAGGGTATAGGGTTCAGGGCTTACAGTGCAGACCTTTTGGAATTTAAAAGCTCCTTTGCGTACCTGGTAAGTGGTTCTGGTCTGAGTCTGTGGGGGATACTTACCCGAACCATAATCGAATAGCACTGCCTACTATAGAAACCCTAGGTCTGCTACCTACTCCATCCATTCAGGCCCCCCCGTGTTCTGCCCGCCAGGCATGGCAGTACCGCATCGAGCTAGAACAGGACTGGCACTTGAGTTTGGGTTAGACTTTTGGTGTTGGGTTTCGGTAAGCTATTTTTTAGGTTTAGCGTTTAGGGTTTGTTTCAACAAGCCAACCAGGGCTGTTTCAGAGACTCCGAGTTCATTTTAGCTGCTTGCTTTCGCTGGTCATTCGATTGAATTTTGAATGTTATTTACCAGGTCGTCAGGATCTGCGAGATCAGGATTGAGGATTTAGCTCTCAAGCCAGTTAGCAAGCTGGACCTTGAACCCCAACCCACGTGCCCAAAGGATCCTAAGTATCTATATGGGGGATACTTACCCAAACCATAACAGTCAATAATTCCGACAGCGGCAACCCTACTTATACTACTATGTAGGTACTTAGAACCTTTTGCGGTGGTGTTGTCTGTCGCGTCCGCAGTGCTGTGGATGCCCGTTTAACTTTGTGATCCGAAAAGCAGATAAGGGCCCTGCAGGCAAACCTACTGTAACCCGTACCTTGAGTGCAGAACCTAAACCAACAAATAAGCCTGATGCTCAAAACCTGTCAGTCTAACCAAGCCCTTGATTAGATGAGCCTAAGAAATTGGTGATATTCGTCAAAGAGTCAAACACACACACACACACACACGCAATGTAAACTCGCACATTCATAATGCCTATGCAACTTTCTGTTTTTTCCTTGTCATGGCCATTTAAGAACATGAACACAGAATGAATTCATACGACAAGAACCATGGTAGCGATCAAGTTGTTCGTTGCAGCTCTTGCCATGCTTTTGGGTATAAACCGACAAACAGTAGTACTGATGCTGAGCAGCACGGATTCTCAACCCAAAATCGAGCATCATTGACCCTCAACCCAAAATCCTGCTCGAACCTGAGAAAATTAGATGTTGGTGCGCAGTTGGCAGGACGGGCAATGGCGCTTGGTCTACGCTGCAGAGCACGCAAACCAGGCGAGAGTTTCCTTTGCAAACCTAACCGCCCCCAGAGATCCATAGCAGAGCGTTTGTTTTGATTTTGCGCAATATCGGCAGGGCCAACGAAACTGCTGCAATGTTTGGGAAAAAACATCTTCTCAAAATACGCGCCGGAAAGCGAGCATCTCAAAGCTGAAGCCCATTGCAGATAACACTCGAGTAACAAGAATCCACCCAAATCAAACCAACCCGAGGCCACAAAAAGCTAAAGCCACAACGTGCTTTTTGCAAGACTGCAGAAGGTACGTAGCAGTGAAATAGGTGCACGGGTTTTGACGTGTCGACCCAAAGTCCCACGTGATCCCTGACCCGGACTTGCCCCAGCAAACTCAATGGCACAGACGTATGGATCGTTGCGGATCCCTTCTATTGGGGTTTAAACTTTAGGGTTTATAATATAAGGTGTAAGTCGTACCGGTTTTGGGGTCTAGGCGGTGGAGATTAAGATAAATTAAGATCCCTACTTCCCAGTCAATCCTCGAATGTAACGTAGGAAATGTATCAGCAAGAGCTGAGCTTGTCGCGGAGCTGCGCCAGCCGCGCTGGCTTGCATCTCACCTAAAACACCCTAAACAAACCCTAAACCCTAGACCGTGCATGTCACCTACAAACTCTAAACCCTGAATCCTAGACCTTACTACAAAGTAGACCCTGGCGTGTTGAGGGCTCTGTAAGTAACTGAAATCCCCTGGGGCATCCTTGTAAAGTAAGAAACAGCGAGAGTGATGTAGCTTTTGTTTCGGGGTCCTAACTTAGATAGGCAACTATGCATCTGGCTCGAAGCACCTAGACTCCCCAACTACCCTCTAATGCCCAACTATTAAGGACCATAAGGGCTCTATTCAAGGGCCTCTACGCGGGCTCCTGGAGCATCAACTTGGGGAGATTTGCATACCCACAGCCCTAAACTTAAGCCCTAAACCCTAAACCCTAAAAAACAAACTTAAGCCCTAATTCCTCAGACCTAAACCTAAACCCTCAACAACCCGAAACCCCTAGTTCCTAAACATAGTACGATTAAGGGCCTGAAGTGTTGCCTATACTGTGTCTTTGGGTTCTTCAATATGAATATACTAGCATACAACCCCCCCCACCCCCCCACCCCCCGAAACCCTTTTTGTTACTTCTTAAGGCCCTTACAGTAGTTCTTTCAGCCGGCGGCCTCGCGATGGCAGCCACCCATTGGAAGACTATTCTGGGAGCTTCGCACCTCTGGGAGCAAGTCCTGTGGATGATGGATCCACTTTGTATCTCGGCCTTCAACTAGGACCTCGAGTAAGCCCTTATTCCTTTTTTGTAGGGCTCAGGTTCCCTTATAAGCCCCTTTAAACCAAAAGGGCACCCTTTTATTCCTAGGCTACTCTCAGGTCTAGTCAATCCTGAGCCTTAAACCCATCCAGACCCTAAGCTCGAAGCCCCAAACCATTTAAGGCCTAAGCCTTCAACTCATCTAAACCCCCACGCCCTGAACCTTAAACCATTCAAAAACACAAGTCCTACGCCCATCTAAACCCTACCTGGGCCCTGAAGAACCCTTTTGTCAGGACTTAAATTCTTAAATAAGGAAACCATAGTAAAGAACCTTAATAAAGAAGCTTAAAGGGTGAAGTTCTTTAGGGTCCAGGTAAGCTCTACAGGGGCTCTACAGGGGTTGAAGGTCCCGGGTCTCCAGGGATCCAGAAACTTACCGTTTCCCGGGCTGATCCCTCTGAGAAAGGGTTATGGTTTTAGGTCATGTTTGAAATTTAGGGGCTGGAGGTGTCACTAGGGGTTTAGGGCTTGGTGGATGAGGGGCTCCTGTTTTCGCTTTGTTCGATTGGCTTGGTGTCATTATTGAACAAGACCCATGGAACCATGATGGAGGGTCTGCTTGGAGGTTCATGGGTAGTTATAAGTGGGGTTTAAGTAGGGTTACCATAATGATATAACCCATATTAAGGGGCTTATATCCCCACTTATAACTACCCATGAGCCTCCAAATAGGTGTCCTTCTTCATTTCCGCAGGTCTGGGTGTTTGCACCACCCCCCCCCCATGAAGGCATGGTTCCGGGAGTTTGGGTTCAGGTGTTGTTCCTTCTGTTGTCGTCGTTTCCCCGCATTTTATGGAATATAGTAGAAGCCAGAAAGTTGGAACATCATTATCGTCATGGCCTTAAGGTAAAGTATAAGGCATCATAGCATTAATCCTCCTAAAGCCATGTTCCAACTTTCTGGCTCCTACTATAATTTGGAAGCTTGATTGAGTAATTGCCAATATTATTCGTTAGCTTTCCTTTGTAGAATGATACTATATCGACTATACCACACCCAAAACTCTACTCTAAGTATGAAGGCACCCCATATCATGCAAGGTATTGCTGCAACCAGCTTGGCCAGCAAGTTTGCACGTTCTGCGTGCATTGCGCCTTATAGCGGCCTACTGAAAGTCCCGCGGCTCATGATCGACTATGGCGTTTTCGTTCCTCCTTCGTTGGAACTGGACCCTGGTTTGCTACAGCTCAGAGCCTGATAGGGTTTAGTGGGGCTTCTAGGCCCCGGAGTAGGCCCTTATTCCCTTTTTTAGGGTTTAGGTTCCCTTATAACCCCCTTTAAACCAAAAAGGGCACCCTTTTTATTCCTAGGTTACTCTTAGGTCTAGGCTTAGAGCTTTTGACTTATGTTGTTCAGAGGTGATTGGTAAAGTCTGGTGGAACTTATAGAACTGCCAATTTCGACCCGATCCCCGAAACCCCAAACCCTAAACTCTAGACTCTAAACCCTAAACCCCAAACCCTGAAGCCTCAACCCTGAACCCCAAACCCTATACTCTTTCCGGGCCGACGAGCTGGTGAATGGAGGATCCCCTCCTGATAGCCGAGTGCCTGCCCTGGATCGAGAAGGGGGAGGTGGTCGAAATCGAGCTCCTCAGATCCGCAATAACCTCATGGGTTCCGAAGTATCTATATTAATATGAGGGGGATACTTACCTCTGGTAGGAACCCTACTTTCTACCATGTAGGTGCTGAGGACCTGCATTATTTTCTTTAGGGTTCTTAGCATGGCACGGCTGGCATATTGATAGCTCTCACTATCCCAACACTCGAAACCTTTCAACCGCAAGTTTTTTGTATGTTGCTGGAATAGGTTTGTCTAAGCCGTAAATCCCTAAACCCCTAGCTCCCAAATCCCTGAGACCCTCAACCCTAAACCCATAAGCCCAAGCAAGGCTCTATGCTGCCTGTGACATCGGCGAGGAGGATAACGATCCTGCATCAGACAGGCAGAGGCAGAACCACTACAATGCCTCCTGGCAGTATTAGGGTTTAGGGGTTCTGTGGGGGGTTTAGGGTTTGTAGGGTTCAAGGTTTAGGGTTTGTAGGGTTCAGGGATTAAGGCTTACGCCAACGAACCTCCATGATTGTTCTGTGAAGGTTCATTTTTGCTGGATTCCGCGTGGATCAATGCCTGTCTTGAAAGGGTTTAAGGTTCTCACAGACTCCAACGCTGCCTAGTTCAGGAATATACATCTTGAAACATATTAGAGTTTCCTATTACCCTGCGGGTCCAAGTATACAAACAGCACGTACTGTTGGGTCAAAAAGTCTATAAACCGTACCACTTTGGGCTATTTGGACCCCCAGGGTAATTTGAGGTCTGTTCCTTAAGTAAGGATTTTGGCTTTCCCTGGGCTTAGTGTTAGGAGCTCAGGATCTCTGCTGAGCAGTTTACGGGAGAGGGGTTTATGAATTAGGGTTCAGGGTTTTAGGGTTTAGGGTTTTCAGGGTTTGGGGCTTGGGGTTTAGGGTATTTAGAGTTTAGGGTTAGCTTTTAGGGTTACATTACGAGCCACACACCCTATGTATGGTCCTAGACTCTACTTGACAAACATCGACACCCCGAGGTTTAAGACGCCAAATTCTGCGGGCGAGAGTCTTTCAAAAGCCACATCCGACAAGAATATCAAAGCAAAATGACACAGAGCATCTAGGTTCCGGTACCAAGCGCCAACTAATATATCCTCTATCACACCCCAAATACTTACTATTGCGGCCCAATGGCTCTATCCGAGAGCACCAGCTTGAGGAGGTGTGCATACCGTCAGCCCTAAACCTTAAACTCTCAGCCCTAAACCCTGAACCCGAAACTCCTAAACTCCGAACCCGAAACCCCTAAACCCTCAACCCGAAACCCCTAACCCCTGAACCCCTAAACCCGCGAAACCAAAACCTCTGCACCCTAAACCCTTTTATTACTCTTAGAGCCCTTTAAATGAACAGTAAATGAACCCTTTATAATCCTCATTAAGGGAGCCACGGACCAAACGCCAACTTCAGGTTTGCATAGGCTGGCTGCTGGGTAGCTTTGGCAAGCTGCGGAGGCTCGGGTTGTAGGGCTTAGGGATCAGGGGTTGAGGGTTTAGGGGCTTTTTTGTGTGTCTTCAGAATTGGCCCTGGCGTTTGGGGGCTTTGGGGTTGAGGGTTTTGTGGTGCAGAGTTTCAGGGTTTACGGGGGTCTGCCCGACAAGCCCCAAAACTACAAAACCGCGGCCTGTAAGTTACTTGTACAGGAACAGCATTAAGGACCTCTACATACCTTCACTTTACCTGCCCTAAGTCCAAACACTCGAAGTGCACCTAACATCGTAAATCCAAAAAGCCCAAAGCCCCATTCACTTCTTGTAGGCTTATACCCCGAGCTCTAAACCCCAAACTCGAAACCCCAAAATCTTGGAAGTCACCACGTTCAGCCACTGTGCGTTTTGACCCGAAGCCAGAACACAACACTCCAAACCCGAAACCTAAACCCCAATCCCGAAGCTTCAAACCATAAACCCCAAACCCGGAAGCCCAAACCCCAAACTCTAAACCCCACAACCTTAGACCCTGAGGCTTATGATTGGGGGTGGCGGCGATCGCCGACTCTGGGTGCCCGTTGCCACTGGGTCTTTTGTTAATGAACTTACTTTAACTGACTCACCGAAACTCAGGATGTATAG